TCTAGTTCATCTTATACACTACAAGTGAGTTTCCTCAATCTGGAGTCACAGAGGTACATTCGGACTCCTTACCTCTTCCGGTTCCCAAATTTGGTCCATTTGATGTTCCTCCTTTGTTTTGAGACCGTTTCAGTCATGTTTGTCCTCATAGTCATGTGTAGAAGCTATTAATCCATGTTTGGGTAAGTATGGAACCATCTAGTTCATCTTATACACTACAAGTGAGTTTCCTCAATGTGGAGTCACAGAGGTACATTTCGGACTCCTTACCTCTTCCGGTTCCCAAATTTGGTCCATTTGATGTTCCTCCCTTGGATTGAGACCGTTTCAGTCATGTTTGTCCTCATAGTCATGTGTAGAAGCTATTAATCCATGTTTGGGTAAGTATGGAACCATCTAGTTCATCTTATACACTACAAGTGAGTTTCCTCAATGTGGAGTCACAGAGGTACATTTCGGACTCCTTACCTCTTCCGGTTCCCAAATTTGGTCCATTTGATGTTCCTCCCTTGGATTGAGACCGTTTCAGTCATGTTTGTCCTCATAGTCATGTGTAGAAGCTATTAATCCATGTTTGGGTAAGTATGGAACATCTAGTTCATCTTATACACTACAAGTGAGTTTCCTCAATCTGGAGTCACAGAGGTACATTTCGGACTCCTTACCTCTTCCGGTTCCCAAATTTGGTCCATTTGATGTTCCTCCCTTGGATTGAGACCGTTTCAGTCATGTTTGTCCTCATAGTCATGTGTAGAAGCTATTAATCCATGTTTGGGTAAGTATGGAACCATCTAGTTCATCTTATACACTACAAGTGAGTTTCCTCAATCTGGAGTCACAGAGGTACATTTCGGACTCCTTACCTCTTCCGGTTCCCAAATTTGGTCCATTTGATGTTCCTCCCTTGGATTGAGACCGTTTCAGTCATGTTTGTCCTCATAGTCATGTGTAGAAGCTATTAATCCATGTTTGGGTAAGTATGGAACCATCTAGTTCATCTTATACACTACAAGTGAGTTTCCTCAATCTGGAGTCACAGAGGTACATTTCGGACTCCTTACCTCTTCCGGTTCCCAAATTTGGTCCATTTGATGTTCCTCCCTTGGATTGAGACCGTTTCAGTCATGTTTGTCCTCATAGTCATGTGTAGAAGCTATTAATCCATGTTTGGGTAAGTATGGAACCATCTAGTTCATCTTATACACTACAAGTGAGTTTCCTCAATCTGGAGTCACAGAGGTACATTTCGGACTCCTTACCTCTTCCGGTTCCCAAATTTGGTCCATTTGATGTTCCTCCCTTGGATTGAGACCGTTTCAGTCATGTTTGTCCTCATAGTCATGTGTAGAAGCTATTAATCCATGTTTGGGTAAGTATGGAACCATCTAGTTCATCTTATACACTACAAGTGAGTTTCCTCAATCTGGAGTCACAGAGGTACATTTCGGACTCCTTACCTCTTCCGGTTCCCAAATTAGGTCCATTTGATGTTCCTCCCTTGGATTGAGACCGTTTCAGTCATGTTTGTCCTCATAGTCATGTGTAGAAGCTATTAATCCATGTTTGGGTAAGTATGGTATCTAGTTCATCTTATACACTACAAGTGAGTTTCCTCAATCTGGAGTCACAGAGGTACATTTCGGACTCCTTACCTCTTCCGGTTCCCAAATTAGGTCCATTTGATGTTCCTCCCTTGGATTGAGACCGTTTCACTCATGTTTGTCCTCATAGTCATGTGTAGAAGCTATTAATCCATGTTTGGGTAAGTATGGTCCATCTAGTTCATCTTATACACTACAAGTGAGTTTCCTCAATCTGGAGTCACAGAGGTACATTTCGGACTCCTTACCTCTTCCGGTTCCCAAATTAGGTCCATTTGATGTTCCTCCCTTGGATTGA